AGAGAAGAAATTCTTCCTTACGTCCAGCCTGAAACAGTCCTGCAGTACTACAGCTCTACAAAGGGACTACTTGCATCATCAGTAAAGTTCTATATTTTCAGGGGGAATAGAAAATATTCAGATATGGATTCATTCCAGGTACGCCTTGTCTCATTGTGGAGGCAAGTGGGTTAAGATGACTTTTTAAGAGGCTAAATTTACAGCTATGCACACTATTATTTCCTCCTTGAAATTCTCCACTCCTTGGGCTTTGGAGACTGCAATCTTCTGGCTCATGATTCTATGCTATTCAGGGCACAGTAGGTTTGCTATTGTGCCCTGTTCCCATGTCCATTGACCATATTCTCATCTTAACAGCGCCTTCAATATCCAATCCTGCAAATGACTAAGTAACTCCCTTGCAGGTCCAGAATCCCTTTTGAAACCAGCTGGAGATTAGGGTACGAAGAACACCCACGGGTGCTCAACCTCTAGAAGAATTAAGTCTTAAGCATGTCCTTTACTGAAACTTCTCCCTCTTTCTGGTCTCCATCAGTGTACCTCAGAGCTCCCTCGAGCCTTTTCTTCTGCGTGCTGCTCTTAGGCATGTCATCTGGCCACCCACCTCTACCTACCACCTCATGCAGGTGACTTTCAGACTTTCCTCTCAGTTTCTGACTTTCCTGTCCATTCAAAACAAAATTTCTGATACTCTCCCCAATGTATTAAATAAGTCTAAATATGACAAATTAAATCTTATTTTTTTTAAAGAGTCCCTAGCCTCCGCCTTTTGGTGTCCACAGGCAATTCCACTGCCTTTCTGCCTTACAGCCATGGTGCATTTACTTATCCCTCCCCCACTTTCATTTAATAGACATTTGTAAAATTAGCTAAATTCAAAATATTACCTTGCAATGTTTTCCTAATACTATATGTATAAGAAAAACAGATTTAATAAAAAATTACAAACTGTGAATGTGCCATTAGCTATTATGCTGCAGAAGCAAGTATTTTTATTTTATAGTAAATTGCTTGCAAGTCAATTAAAAACTTGTTTTTTTTGTTGCATCTATTTTAATCACATGAGGAACAGATATAGAAAGGTTCCCTTCCTAGTTTAATTACTGGCCTTTAATAAAACATGTAGCTTACCTTTTTGTCCATGACGACTGCTAAATTTATCTCCAATTTCTGGACGTCTAGTCTGTCTTAACAACATTTTGATCAAAAAAGCATCCTCTGCATTGGAGGAGATCATTACTTTTTCAATATACGAATCAGTTGCACCCTTGTAGCTAACAAAGGAGATAAAAAAGATCTTTTAAATGCATGTACACACAGAATTCAGTGCAAGTTTTGAAGGTATCTGGGACTGGCAGGTTTCTGAGCAGAAAATCTTCTGGAGGGTACGTACATGGAAGGATACCGAAGTTTGTACTATAATGAGGCATTATATTTCAAAATTTCTGAAGAAAAAGGATTTTTTTGAAAAGCACAACCAAAAAGCCACAAGGGGTACTGAGCTCAGTTAGTTAATGGAAGACAGGCTGATGGTCTCTCCCTGATGGTAGAAACTTATGATATGTTGTAAATGGTTGGTGCTTCCAAAAAAATATGCCACTAGCAAAAACAAAATCACAGGGGATCAATTGCAAGAAGGAGTTTGGGGCGAGAGGGGGAGACAGGAGAGCAAAGAAAACAATCAAATCATCATTATCCCTGAACAAACGAGAAATAATTCATATTGCGGTTATTAAATATAGAACATTACATAAAACTTGTCCAATATTAAAAATTAGTAGGTACTGATCCCTCTGGATACCTGTATACAAGTGCAATTGAAGAGATACAAGGAAGATATTATAAAAGAAATTAATCAAGAAACAGAACAGTTATTTAGCATTTAAAAAAAAGATTATGAAAAAGTGATTGAGAGGTCTTTACACAAACTAATTGGAAAACTTCTTCAGACATGGAAGGGGCAGCATGGAAGACTATGAGCTACTTTGAAGGTACAGCCTGTAATTTAAGTGTAAAGGAGAATGCAGAGACTTGAGAAAAGCTGTTAGTCATGACAGAGTGGGAAGAAAGTAGAATTATTTTTCTTAAAGCTTCTGGGATGCACTGGAGGGATATGGGGCTTTGGACAAATATCTTCTTCACCTGCCATGACTTCCTCCTTCCTCTTCTGAGGGCTTTTTTTTTTACAGTGTTTGATCCTGGCCAATTGAACTAATTGGAAAATATTCCAATAGCTTTGAATCAGATCTAAGTGATGCCAAATTATCTTTCACTTTCTGATCTATCAGCACTCATCTGACTGACTGATTAGACATTTACAAGGGTGCTATTAGCCAACAAAAAGTGGACAGGGTGTTCAGCATGTTTAATACTGCAGTTTCTGTAGCATTATAAGATAGTCTGGTGTGGAAGCCCTTCAATCACTAGACAGCTCAAACACCACATGAAATCTGTAATGGAAACTGAAGGGCCAACAAGAGCACTCAGTTATCTTGAATAAGGCTTTTATTTTGTGGTATACAGACTTGCCAATTATACTAGTTTTTCAGCAGACCTGTAGTTCTCAAACTTCATGGGCCAATGGACCACGCTTATCCCTCAAAAAGTCTCACAGAGTACCATGCAATCTTACTAAACTTCAACAGAAAAAACTAACAAAACATGGACCATGTGCCATGGTCCTGCAAGACCAGCAGTAGCTCAGTTTGGGAGCTACTGCCACAGATTACACCTTTTCAAATCCTTCTATGGATTTAGAGGGAAATTTTCATGGAATGGATGGTCCCTCCTAGTCACTCACTCTGGGAAAGAGGGTTAAGGCAGAGCAGTTTTATATAGGCTTACAGTCAGCTAAGCAGGAAGAGGTCCATCCCTCTATGCACAAGCTGGACAGAAAAGGTTATAGATTAAATAGCATTTAGTCCTTTACTTCCAGAGATCACTGTGGGGCAGCTGCCACCTCCTGAGGATTCTGAATCTACTCATATGCACCCTGCCCCTCCATTGAGCTCTTTACCAGCACCAGGACTGGTTGGGATGGGGACCTTTGTCATCCTCAGCCCTCATCACGCACCAATCTCCACCCCCTTATTCCTGAACCTTTGGGGATCCAGCTGTCCCTTTACTTTAGGGTCTTCTGGGATATTCCCTTTCCATCTCAAGTGGGTTCTGACCCATCTCACCTGAAGCCAGCCCCCAGGGGGGCTAGAATTAATAACAATTGGGTGTCTTGGTACCTTTAAAAGTTCTAAGAGTTAGAAGCCTAGCCTATAGGGCCCCATTAAAAACTTGTAAAGAAAAATTAATCCTCCTTTTCTATTGCTGAGCATTTTCTTCCTATCCTTGCTTCTCCACACTTGTACATTTTGAAGCATGATACTTTAGATGACATACGTTACTGGTACATCTTTATACTGCGGTTGCTGAGGCACGCTACTTCCTTCCAGAGGAGTCTGGGTCACAGTTGGCATAGATTTATTTACGAGCACTTGTTTATTTTCTACTTTTTCACCTAAAAAAAAAAAAAAAAAATTAAGAAAAACAAAAAACCCAAGCATTATGCAATGATACTTGATCTCTTAAACACATTTAAAAATCCATTATAAAACATCCTAAATAAAAGAAGCTTACTGGGAAAAGATTAATTATCACTGAGATGCATAGGAAGTAGAAGAGTAGAAAGAGACATTCTTTGATGTCACATTTGTGCAGCCATAAAAAAATTTGGGGTGGCACAGGTGGTGAGCAAATTGGCATCCCTACCCTTTGTCATGCCATACCCTCTTCAGCCACCCCAGGCATATGCTTTAGAGGCTTGAGAGGCAAAATCCTGCGCAGCCTGGTAACTTTCATGCTGGATTGGGCCCCTCAAGTCCCTGCAGCACCTCCCTAACTTTCCCTGTTTACAGAGAAAGGCAGTCGAGGGGAAAGGGACTTAACGGTGGGAGTCT